TTCCAAAGTGCTGGGATTACAGGCATGAGCCACCGTGCCCGGCCTATTTTATTTAATTATTGCTTAAATATTTGTTGAGAAAAATCTGCTCTCTAAGTACTAGGATAAAAGAGATTAATAATAAATTAATGATTAAATGCACCATGATCAATCTTATCATTGAGGTCTATATGCTACATTTGAATTACATAATAAAGGTGGAAGTTAATCACCCCAACTTATACAACAGTACACAGAGTGGATCAACAGTTAATTAGATAATACAATACAGTTTGTAACCTGCAAATGCATTAGAATTAATTAGAATCAAACCATATTTGTGACTTTGGTTTAATGTGAAAAACCTATTGATACAGACATAGCCAGGACATTTCTATTGTCTTCATAATTTTTTTTTTTTTTTTGAGACAGAGTTTCACTCTTGTTGCCCAGGCTGGAGTGCAATGGCATGGTTTCAGCTCACTACAACCTCCGCTTCCAAGGTTCAAGTGATTCTCCTGCCTCAGCCTCCTAAGTATCTGGAATTACAGGGGCCTGCCACCACACCAGGCTAATTTTTGTATTTTCAGTAGAGACGGGTTTCACCATGTTGACCAGGCTGGTCTTGAACTTCTGACCTTAACTGATCTGCCTTCCTCAGCCTCCCAAAGTGATGGGATTACAGGCATGAGCCACTGCGCCCGGTTTGTCTTTATAAATCTTATAGAAATATTTAACTTTTAAAATCAACCATATACGATTAAGACTTTGATAAAAGTAATTAAAAAGTAAAGCAATGAAAAAAGCAATTTTTAAAAACATATATGAATGATTGAAAGCCAGGAGTAAAATTAAGAATTGTATTAAAATATCAGTATTAAAATTAGCTATATAAATATTTAATTAATGCAGCTAAAATGTTAACAAACAAAATTTACCAAAGAAAAGTATGTTAACATTACTGAATCATCTTAAAATCTTATTAAAATTTAAAGTTCTTCTAAACTGAAATTATGTCACAGAAAAAAATAATGTCACATTAAAAAGCTTAGGATTAGAAATACATAATTTTTAAATATAGTCAATATATATTAATCATATTTCATTAATGTCTTATTATTTCATGAATAAATTTTTTTCATGATACTATTTAAGTGCCACGTTCTATAATAATATGGAAAACAATCATACAAAATGTGGCATACAGTAATTTATAGCTAGTACAGCACACCTTTTATCTCTTTATAACAAAAACATAATTTGTAAATTAATATAACACTAAGTCCCATATTGTCTTTTTTTTGTCAAAGAACTCTCTCCTTGAAAACCATCATCCTCAGAAGCATCTGTAACTTAAAAAGACCTTAGAAACTTAACAATCATAAATGCATTATAACTTAAAGAGATACTATCTTCACAGTAGAGGCTAACAGACTTATACCTACTGATAGCTGACAAGTATTATAGGAATCCTGGCAGGCAAATTGTTGCATAAAAATTATATAATTTACTAACTGTAAAATAACCTTTAGAATTTAGAATCAGTCAAATAAGTAGAACAGACAATTGTTATCAAAGCCATATAAATGTCTGTAAAAATTATTTTTTGCTACCCTCATTTTATCTCTGAAGAGACATCTTACAAAAAATGAATAGACACATATAAATACCTAATTACAAGCAGAGTTAAGATTAAAATTCTGTCCCATTAGGGGTGGGACAGAAATCAGTATAGCAAAGAATATTTTGGTGCAGGTAATTTGTTTCAAATGATTCAACCTTCAACATTACTTCACTTAAATTTTAGCAAACTTTCTGCTACAATTTAAGCATACATACATATGAGACTAGACATATGACTTTGTGTCGTGTGTAGGCAGGGGCTAGGGCAGCTCTATTAAATGTTTATGTAAACCCCAAAGATGTCCTAAGAAATGCAATTTGAAAAAACTTTGATGTGCTACAGCGCGAATTTTCTCAGACAGCAACAGAGCAGGCACTTGAATACAGATATATTCCTGCTTTCCACCTCCCTGTCAAAACAATAAAAAAGGCCACAGGCCTGTGGTTCTGGCCTCCAGGGAACTGGTGGCTTCTTTAACCCGCACTGCTGCTGCTGAATTCCATTTAGGTTTAGGGTTTATTTTGTATATGCCTTTGTATAGGCTAAATGCTGGTCTAGTTGAAAATCAACATAAAACAACCTTAATAACATCTCATTTTCTTGTGACTTTACTTTTTTTGTTGTTTTGTTTTTTACTTTTGGAGACAGAGTCTTGTTCTGTCACCAAGGCTGAAGTGCAGTGGCATGATTACGGCTCAACCTCTAGGCTCAAGCGACCTTCCCACTTCAGCCACCTGAGTAGCTGGTACCACAGGCACATGCCACCACATAAGGCTAACTTAAAGAACAATTTTTTTAGATGGGATCTCACTATGTTGCCCAGGCTGGTCTTGAACTCTTTGCCCTAAGCAATCCTCCCACCTTGGCCTCCCAAAGTGCAGGGATTATAGGTGTGAGCCACTATGCCTGGCCTCTCTCATGACTTTAAACTTGAACATGATTTTGTGATGTGGCCAAGTTTAGTATCCCAACCAGCCGGTGATTACTGTGATTGCCACACAGATTCCCTCTTGTTCCATCTTTTATATTCCCTCTTCTCACTCTCATAACTGTGTGGATAGTAAAATAATTATCCAAATAGGTATGATATTGGCAAAGAAAGTCACAAAATGTTTTAATGAGCAAACACTTTGGGGATGGTAATAATCTTCTTTCTGCTACCTTCAGTGTCTCTTTTAAGTATCTCTACATTCTTCTTCAAAAATTAAGAATATATCTTTCTTGCTCTTTTGTTGTTGTCGTTGAACACCAGAAGGGAATATTCCTTAATTCTCCAAAGTTAAGGACGGTACAGCACAATATTCCATTCAGCAGGTGAAGTCAGTATGAATGAACATATTTCAATCAGCAAATTGCTGGTTGTGTTGCAAATTCTACTTATGACGTTTTATATAATTTGAAGGGCTCCCATTAATTAAGGTATTTCTTATAAGCATTTAGAAAGATTTTTTTCTTGGCATGTGACTTGTAAATTTGTCCTGATATTTTCCCTTTGACAAGGTTTTGTGAATTGTAACTCAGCCACATAAGTGGCTCCTCATAATAAAGCCACATGGTATCCACTGTACACATATTCAGCAAATCAAAGAAGTGGTTCTCAACATAATATCTAGAGGAGGTCCTTCTTGTTCACTTTCAATAACTATGTTGAAGAATAGATTCTAAAAAGCTATTACTAAATTTTCCGGTATGTTTTGAAACTTGTGTCCACGAAATCTATAGATCAATAAATGTATAGAATAGAGCATAATAATCTAATTAATGGATTTAAGATGTCATCTAAGCAGTAATGAATGCAATAAATAGGCCTTCTGAATTCAAGATCAGCTGCAGAGGTAATGCACTGCCACTAGAATTGTGTGCTGTGTTGGTAATAAATTAATAAAAACATTGGGGATAAAAAAATCTGCAAATAAAACGGCGTGTCATGTGTGAAATATAATCAGAAAAATGTTCAGATTTTTATAATTAACAGAAAAATTATTGTTTTTATCATCTCCAGTGTTTAACAGACACTATTCACGGCATTTAGTAATGGCAAAAAACGCCATTTTTTTTGCCATTACTTTCAATAAAAAAGAGAACCAGCATTTAGAAATCTAATTTCAGAAACTTAATAAAATGAGAATTTTTCCTCTTTTACACATAAGAAGCCTGCATAGTATGTATTCTGTTGCTAGTACATAAGCTTCCCATTTTCTTCAGAAACCTATATACTTACATTTCTCTTTTACTAACTTCAATGCATGACTTCTATCTTCAAGGCAATTTCATGCTTCTAGACACGATGTCTGCATTCCAGGACAGCAGCAGAAAGTGTAGAAAAATAAAAAAGTCCTACCTCCCTAATGAGTCAACTGCACTTAAGGAGCCATCCCAGAAGTTTCACACAGGTTAGTATTATTATTATTATTTTTATTATTATTATTATTTTTGAGATGAGTCTCGCTCTGTCGCGTAAGCTGGAGTGCAGTGGCGCAATCTCTGCTCACTGCAAGCTCCGCCTCCCAGGTTCACGCCATTCTCCTGCCTCAGCCTCCCAAGTAGCTGGGACTACAGGCGCCTGCCACCACGCCCAGCTAATTTTTTTATTTTTAATAGAGACGGGGTTTCACTGCGTTAGCCAGGATGGTCTCGATTTCCTGACCTCGTGATCCGCCCGCCTCAGCCTCCCAAAGTGCTGGGATTACAGGAGTGAGCCACCACGCCCGACCTCACACAGCTTATTTTAATACAGTTGCATCCAGATGCAAGGGATGCTGGGAAACGTGGTATTGTGCTCAGCTAAAGTTGAGATTACGTTAGTGAAAATGAGACCTTGCACACTGGAAGGTTAAAAGCAATCTCTCATGACAACAATAAAGAAATTTAATTAAAACTTTAAGCAATGTGATAAACCTATGGAATGTTAACAGGCAAAAATAGCAACATTAAAAACTGCAGTGAGGAAATAAGGTATGATTCGTTTGTAGATGGTTTGTGTGTCATTAATCTAGGCAAAAACTGATAAACTCTTCTAATAGTGATGAAACGTATAAAAGAAATAATAATACACACTATGGCTAACAACATTCCATTTTGGCATATTTACTCTTGCTAAGTCTCTATGCTTAGCATCAGAAATGTACAGTTTTGATAGCCTATGACGTCAACATGTTCAGTTTGATAGTAGAAAAGACATAACATGAAGACAAACCAATGAACAAATAAGAATAAAAACTGTTAAAAAAGAACAATATTATAAGAACATAAGGATGTGATAATGTATTTGATAGTTTTATTGTTTTATAGTTTGATAATACATACAAATTTACTGCTCCTTCAATGTTAGAATCAATAGAATTACAGCAGAAGTAATTAAACAGATAAAGATCAAAATGTCACCTTTATTACTTACTGTTTGAAAAATAGTCTAAGGCTGGTTTTGTAGGGTTGCTCCTATCCATCACCTGATGTGAACTTTCTTAGGAAGCTTCAGGACTACCCCAAAGAACCAGAACCTGCTCTTTCACTCTGTTACATTGTGTAGAGTGCAGACCATCATGACTGCTCTCTATAAGAAAAAGAAAGGAAATGATTAAGAAACGCACAACAGTTGGTGGAGAATTGCACAATAAGTATGAAATTGGTTAGCTTTCTAAACTCACCAATCTCATAACTAGCACCTGTTCCCATGCAGTGAATGAGTGAAGGATGGACAGAGTCCATAATGATTATTCTAGGGAAATCCTTCTGAGTAGAAAGAGGAGAGTTTTGCAAACAGTTTTGTATAGTTTACTCTTATCTATGCACTGATAGTAAATAAGAGTTCCTAAAATTCTCTCTAAAACTCTAGGTAAATGAGATATTTCACTGCTTATGCTGTGTGACCTTCATATCCCATCTGCCTAGACTGTAAATATGCTTTCTGAATTTTAAAAGAATTAGTATACTATGCTTACATTAAGCAAAAAAGTACCCTTATTATGCAGGATCAAGTAACACTCTAAAGATTCATGTTTACGAAAAAACACTGATGATTCTATTTTATTATGTGTCTTCTAAAGAGAAAAATAATTGTGCTCTGCATTATTATACAATATGCTATTCTAAATACTTTCATTTAAACAAGATCATTATGAAAATGTTTTGCACACAGAAATATATTTTGAATACTTTTTAAAAAAGATCACAAAGTATATGGTCTCTGTATGTGTTGAATTATTTTAATGCTTTCACTATAACAGGAATTCTTAAAGAGGATACGTATTTGCATAATGCTGATAAACCTTTTTCATTTCTGTTAGTGCTTTGACTGTTGTTATAGCCACTGAAAGTAGTAATTATATGAGTTTATTATCCATGATTATCTTTAGATATATGTGCATTTTCTTTAATTAGACTACAAATTCTAAATGAAAAATAAAAAAGAAGTCACCTCTTATCTCTTTGTATGATATTAAATTTTGTTTCTTATATCCAGCGTTTCCCAAATGCCTGTTGCAAAATTTTACTTCAGGAGTAGAAAGTGGCAAATCAATATAGTAAACTATGTTACAGGGAAGGAGACACAGGGTAAACTTTTTCCTTATCTTCTCTCCATATTTATGTGCTGCACAAGCATAAATGGTAGCACTCACATGAACAAGTGGTTTTCAAGAATGTAGAATATTGTCATAAAAAAAAAACACTTTGAAACATCGAATTAATATAAAAGCCAGAACTACTATCACTATTTTTTACATCCATAGGAGGGAAGATATTTTTAGATACAAAATTCCTTCTAACAATTGTCCCTATCATTTAACCAGTATTTTGATAAAAGAAGGGAAAAATGGATATTCAGTCCAAAGATGGGCATGTATTCCCATGCCCAATCAGAAAACTTATGGATGTTCTTTAAAATAACAATTCATTCAACAAATAATTTTTAAATGGCTACTGAATACCTGGAAATGTTCTAGACACAGGGGCTATGCTAATAAACACGAAAGAACTAACTGACAAGAATGTGCTTACCTACAATGAAATATCTCCTCATGGAGCTTGAGTTCTATTTGAAAAGACAGAGAACAAAAAAAATATTATTGCATAGAGTGTTAGTTATGTGTGAATTAAAAGACTGGTCAGTACTTGAGGGAGGAGGAGTGACAACAAATCTCACTTCCAGTTCTATTTACCTGAACAGATTAATTCTATTTTGTTTCAATGGAACAATAGTCCTATGGTTAACCAGATCCGCTACACAAAGCAAACAACTTATAAAATGCATTTATTTCCTTATATTGCAAATCAATTTTAAATGGATCTACAAATATACAATAAATAATATAAATTAGGGAACATTTGCTTCTAAGGTAATAAGCAGATTTGTTAATTTCACATAAATAATTTCAGAAGGAGAGCAAATGTAAAAATGTGTTTCAGACAGTGGAGATGCCATTTTATTGTAAGACTATTTATAATCAAAGGACAAAGTAATGAGCTTTCTATGTCAATGATCGTCCTTCTCTATTTCACCCAGTTCCAGACAAATCCGAGTCTTCCAAGTCTCTTCATATATCTGATCCAATAAAATCTACAGTGAGTTCAGTTATACACACACACACACACGACTGCATTGAAATACTTTGCTCTAAGGAAGGAACATAGTGTATATGCAACTTGTGTACTTGCTAAGTATGGGATGACTAGTCCTTTAACAACTACATTTACTTTCTTTGACTTCTATCGTTGCTACCTACTCCTCAAAAATCTACTTAAACAACCAATAAATATATATGATGTTATGAGAGTTTTGGAAATAATCCCTAAAAATTTACATGGCTGCCTCTGTATATTTGGCAGCTTTATTAAGTATCACCCATGGGAACAACCCCTACAGAAGAATCAGAATATAAAGGATGTGAGCCCTGGGTTTCTCAGGCGCTGAAAGGACCTGTCAGAATCCTCCCAGGTGGGTCAAAATGGCCGGGCTTTATACCTCATCTCCATTCATGTTTGCATGTCAGGTACTCCAGGATGACCTAACATTAAGCCAGACAACTATTACAGCTGAGGCAAACTTTGAAGGAGTTGAGAGCTGAAGGCTGCTTTGTAATGTTGCTCCTAGCAGCCAGCGGGGAAAAAAATCTTTTCTTGAAGAGCGATCTGTGACCATCACAAAATGATTTGTTCTTAGCTCTTGTAAAATTGAAATTGTTTGCTTTTGAATTTTTAAAAATGATTCCTTTAAGATTCTTAATACCAAGATATCATAAGGTCCAGGAATTTTATAAAGAAGTATTTCTATTTATGTAATTTCACAAATTTCTCTATACATAAATCAACACTAAAACATGCCTTTGATACCAACAACTTGATTGGTTTGTGAAAGAAATCTATCACGCAAATACATATTGCTGTTTTTAGATAAGTTCTAAATGTATTACCAAATCAATTAATTTTATTGTGTATCTCAATATTCCAGTTGATGTATAAGTTTAAATAGAACAAACTATTTGACATTGAAATGTTCTTTATCAAGGGAGAAGGAATACAATTTTAAAGCCAAACCGAGTGACACGTAGTTCTGAATGATTTATTGGCTGTCTGCCATTCTGAAATGGCTGCCAGTCAATGTTACATGTGACATCTTTCAGATAGTGTGAACTCTTTTAAGCAAGTACTTTTCACTATAAAATTACAGCTGAAGATCATGAAAAGTGTGGTGTTTATCTTAATGGGCTGAAAGACCTATTTCAACAGTTACAGTAATTCAGAAAAATAGTCTCAAGTCTAGTATTTCAATAATGTTATTTTCGTAGATTTTCGTCTTTAAAGACAATGCTTCACTCTTGCAGAAAATGACTTCTCTAATCATCCTGGATTTCAAAAATCTTTCCATTATTTAATATTTAGATCGCTGGCAGAACTTGGCATGAGGAGTAGAGAGCTGTCACCACGCAGCCAGTCATTTTTCTTGGTTTTCCATATGCCATGCCCAGCAATAGAGCATTTCTTAAGGGCTGAGGAATAGTAGCAGTGCTAAACACAGAGATGACATTAACAGGAATGAGAGGGTCCAAGCTGTTTTCCTAGACTGATTCTCTTTCATCCTGAATCAAAGCATTTTCCTATTATTATTATAGATATTTCGCTTGTGGTATTATCTATCTTTTGGCAATGTTGATTTTTTTTCTGATGATCCAAATAGGTAATGTTAATGGGGAAAAAATCAGATATTAAGGGGAAAAAAAAACTAGAAATAAATGTTAACCCAAGACAGTAACAATACAATTAATTTATATGATACTTGAGGGATTGTGTCAATTATATTTTAAATGAAATTATAAAAATTCATCACCTGTGTTTTCTCCTATGATTATATATTCAACTAAGGCACAATTGTAAATGGTTGTATTTGGTTGAATTTTTAGATTGTTTGCAAGTTTTACTGTTGCAGACAATAATAACGGGAGTTTCTTTGAAAATAAATTTAGTTGTTCTATAACCAAGGCATAAATATTCAATTAAATAAAATTAGCACAAATATTAAACGAGAAGTATATTATATATAAAATGCATAAATAAAATAAAATGAAATATCCTACATTGGTCACTTTATGTCTATAGTTACCCTATTGATTCTGTGCTCATTTGCATATGGGTATATATGCAATTTTATAAAATGAAGTATTCGTAGTGTACATAAATTTAGTAATTATTTTACCCCTCAAAAGTATATGCAATGAGTGGCATTTATATATACATTTCATTAACCTGGAAGAAGAATGTTAGTCAAAAAAACTATGAGTTTAACAATTTTCTGGTTAATTCCAATGGGTTCTGTCCGGGCGCATGGCTCATGCCTGTAATCCCAGCACTTTGGGAGTCCGAGACTGGCGGATCACGAGGTCAGGAGATTAAGACCATCCTGGTTAACATGGTGAACCCCGTCTCTACTAAAAATACAAAAAATTAGCTGGGCTTGGTGGCGGGTGCCTGTAGTCCCAGCTACTCAGGAGGCTGAGGCAGGAGAATGGCGTGAACCCAGGAGGCGGAGCTTGCAGTGAGTGGAGATCATGCCACTGCAGGCCAGCTTGCATGACAGAGCGAGACTCTGTCTCAAAAAAAAAAAAAAAAAAAAAAAAGGGCTTTCAAAAAATGTCTTTAAAAATTTAATTCCATTTGCTTTCTCATAGCAGAATATGAGAATGAATCTTTTTTGCTGCAAATTTGCTAGCAATAAATTTTTATTTTTATTATTTTAATTTTGTGAATTTGGGGAATGGACTCTCATTCTGTATAGATATCATAATACTAATGAGATTGACTTCCTCCTTCTTATTAACAGTGTGCATTTTTACCCTCAGTGATTCAGTGCATGGTGTAGTGCTATAATTCAAAATGAACATTTCAAAGACAGATTACGTGCTTCCAAATGCCAAATCATCACTAACTAGCTCTGTGGCATTAAGGAAATTTCATAACCTTTTAGTGCCCAATTTTGTGGAAGAATGGTTAGAAGGCTATGGCAATAACAAAAGAAAATTTGAATAGCTGTATCCAACATGAAAAGGTTGTTAGTAGTATTAAATGAGTTACTATAGGTAAAACAATCAGGGAAATAATTAAAGAGAGTCTGCACTAATATTGTTTTATTAATTTAAAATTTCTATACACAATCCTTTGATTCATTTGGAATTAGTTTTAATGTATTTTAGAAAATAAGGTTTATTTTATATTTTCCCCCAAAACAATTCTTCAAGACAACTTTTTGAACAGTTAATTCCTTCTTTGTTTATAATATGCATTTTAATAAAGTGACTTATCTTCATGATTTCTGGGACATCTGTTCTATCTAATTTATTATTCAACATTCATCTCAGTATTTTCATTTCCTTGATCCATTTCACCTTACTGATCAACCCTTCTTTACTCAGTCTGAATTTTTTTTAGAAATTCTGAGAGAGCCCCAAACCTTGGTTTTGGGTCTTCTTTCAATCCTGTTTGTCTTTCCATGTGATCTTAATTATTTACATGACATTATACCCTATCTTTATGGTGACAAATCCCAAAATTATCTCTCTGGCTTAAACTTATCCTTAAAGATTTGGTTGCAACTTATTAAGAAGTCAGGTTCAATATAATACATGCATTGTTGATTTAATATGCTCATCAAAATATTTAAAGTTTTATTTTAATGCAAAAAATAAAGCTTTTAATTTTAGCTCCTATTTAATAATTTTGACAAAAAACATTATACCAATCATTATTAATTATTGCTGGGTTTTAAAATATTATCTGATTAAATATTTTTGACTTTGAAAAATGATAACAAATGCTTCTCTCTTGTCCCCTTGACCATACTTGATATTCCTTTTTCCAAATCCGGCCCACAAGTTCAGAATATAACCTGATAAAATATCTTCTATGTATAAACTATCTTTAAATTTTCTTGAGAGAATACTAAGTAACCAAAAGCATTGCTCCTTTGCCCTATAAAAGAGAGAACAATAAAAAAAATCCCTTTTTTTTGGTTATTTTAAATGGTAATTAAAGCTATTGTGAGGGCTCTTTTATCAACCAAACTTGTGAACAAAAAACAGCTCAAATTTATGTGTAAATAAAATATATTGAGATAAAGCCTTTCATTCAATGTGTGATTTTCAGTTCCAAAAAAACACACTCATGTTCAAGAACAAAGACTGGTACAATAACTATCTACAAAATGCTTTTGTTACTAGATTTTAATTCCTTCATCAAACAGGTGCAGTCAAAGTTGATAGTGTCACTAGATGCAGAGGTCTATCAATATCCTTCCCACCATTTAATATGTTTTTAATCTCAGGGAAATCCTTAATCATATTATTTTAAATTGTACAGCTGACTCCTGAACAACACAAGGTTTAGGGGCATCAAACCTCCCTATCCCCTCCCCACCACCCTAGCACAGTCAAAAATTCACGTATAACTTTAGTGATAACATTAACACATATTTCGTATGCTATATGTATTTTACACTGTACTTTTACAATGAAGTGAGCTACAGAAAAGAAAAGAAAATACATT